TTTTTTTTTTTTTTTGTACCAGAATTGAGCCGAGGTGTCCTTTACTACTGAGCCACATCCCCATTCCTCTTATTTTTTAATTTAGAGACAGGGTCTCGCTGAGTTGCTTAGGGCTTCACTGAGTYGCTGAGGCTGGCTTTGAACTTGCGATCCTCCTGCCTCRGYCTCCCAAGCTGCTGGGATCACAGACTTGCACTACTGCGTCCCATCATTGAACTTCTGTGGTTCTCTRACTGGGCTTGGGCTGAGAATTTCAGGTTCTCACTTCTCCGTTTCCTGCGCMAGACAAGGCACAGCCTTGAAACAAAACGAACAGCCTTCAAATGGATGAATTCAGAAATCTCATCTCATGTTCCTCAAATGACCAAGTTTCCCCYGACACCAACCCAGTCCTGTCTGTGGCTGTGGACTGCTCCCTAACAATTCAGTTTGGGCATCTGAAACTGGGTCGGGATTTTGGTTTACAGTGTCTGACATCGAATAAGTACTATATAAGGATGGTGTTACTAATGTCTCAGAAATTTCAGTGACTTATCTTTTGTTCTCTGTGTCCCAGAAAGATTTTTCTTCTTTGATTCCTTGATCCCTTCCCTGGAACGCCCACACCCCTCTTGGTGATGACCACTTGGTTTTGTTTTGTTTTTCTGTTTTCACTCTAAAGCAAATCTCTACCAGCCAATGGTTTCATTAATGAGGTTYTAGGCATAAAGTTAGTTAGAAGAGATCGAAATAAAACACACAGACTCAGTTACCTTATTTCTATTGCTAGGTCCGAGATGGCTCCCCTCTCTGGTTCGCTCCTCTAGCCGCCCAGCAGGACAGCAGGGATTACTCAGGGCTAGCAGGAGAGAGAGTGAACACGCCTGGGAGTAGCCTTTTATTAGGGAACCAGAGATTCAGGGGAGAATTCCATCCAATGAAGGTTGAGGGGGGGCTGCACTCCAAGGTCAGGGTCAGTGACTGGGTCCCCGGGGTCAGTGGTCAGGCACACCCCCACACGGATGGGCTCTCTCATCAGGAGAGGGACGGGAAAGCTTCGACACTGCCAAAGCGCCTCAGACCCTTAACGGGAGTTGCCCAATCACGTGTCAGGATGGCTTCCCACACAAATCCCATGAAGTTTGGCAAAGTTTTAATCCCCAAGGGTAGGGAAGGGGTAAGGAGGAATCATTTCTGTTCATGGACTCTGGGAATGCCTCAACCTGGGGAGCCTGGTCCCTCTCTAGCAGACCTCCATGGAGTGGAGGAGGACATCTCTCCACACCTCTACCATCTTCACAGAACTCGGCGGGACGCGATGGGTGAAGCTGTAGAGGTGCTCGTCGTTTACTATCACCTGGGAGAAGAAAACRTGTCAGAAATACAGCACAAGTGTCCAGCCTTCTTTTCCGTGTCTGCCCTCGCACCTACCCTGTCCACCCAGAACACTCCTGACCGTACTCCAGAGCCTCACACACACACTTCTATCTTTTGTGACTGCTTCAGTCGTTCACTGTGTTTTCAGTGTTCCCTCTCATTTCTCTGTGGAGGGTCTACCATTCTATGTCACATGGTCCATTTTGCTTGGCTTCCTCTCTACCCTAGATCCCCATGGCCGGGACTGTGTCATGAACCTTGAATCCTTGTAGCTTGCAAAGAGCCTGCCATGAAGTTAGTGCTCGATACGTGCTCATTGATGGAATATGTTTTGGCTCCACAATCCTTGGCAGTCATTCACGGCTCAGGGCAGTTTCTTTTTTGAGTAGCTCAGATTGGGACTACTGCAGGTAGAGAATGAAACCTCAATGTTACTATTTTTTTTTTTAGTTGTAGGTGGATTCAATATCTTTTATTTTAATTTATTTTTATGTGGTGCTGAGGATTGAACCCAGGACCTCACGAGTACAAGGCAAGTGCTCCACCACTGAGCTAYAATCTCAGCCCCTCAATGTTCTTAAAGAGGTAGATGAGCACAGATGATTTGATAAGCAGGATACYAGGGCTGGGGTTGTGGCTCAGTGGTAGAGCGCTTGCCTAGTACGTGTGAGGCACTGGGTTCGATCCCCTAAAAATAAATAAATAGAATAAAACTATTGTGCCCATTTATAACTAAAAAAATTTTTTAATTAAAAATTAAAATTAAGCCAGGCAGTGTGGTGCATGCCTGTAATCCCTGCAGCTCCAGAGGATAMGGCAGGAGGATCGTGAGTTCAAAGCCAGCCTCAGCAAAAGTGAGGCACTAAGCAACTCAGTGAGACCCTGTCTCTAAATAATATACAAAAAAGAGCTGGGGATGGGATTCAGTGGCYGAGTGCCCCTGAGTTTAATCCCTGGTATTAAAAAAATTTGTCTGTTAGCTCATGTGAAACATACAATTCATGGTCAACCATAGCTCCCTACCATGCTACAGATCATTAGAAGTCACTCTGCTTATGCAAGGGCAGCTCTGTAACCATTAATCATCCTCTCTCCAGCTCCCACCTTTACTCACATCCTTCCTGGGCTCTGGTAACCACTATTCTACTTTCTGCTTCTTCTTCTTTTTTTTTTTTTTAGAGAGAGAGAGTGAGAGAGAATTTTTAATATTTATTTTTTTARTTCTCRGCGGACMCAACATCTTTGTTGGTATGTGGTGCTGAGGATCGAACCCGGGCCRCACRCATGCCAGGTGAGCGCGCTACCGCTTGAGCCGCATCCCCAGCCCTACTTTCTGCTTCTTCCTCCAAATATATTCTTTGACAACAAATAAGCTCTAGCTCCTAAAGTATAAAGTATGAAGAAACGGACACCGTCATTTATATGTGCATCCGTATCAGCCAGTCCCTTCCTTGTGRGTGGCACGCACTCTCAGGGCACCAACAAACCTTTTCCTACCCTTTTCACATGATGGAAGGAAGCCTTCCTGGGTGATGTTTTGTTTATTACTTATATAATATAAATATAAGGTTTGTAATATATAACATATACTTAGATATTTATATATGTTACCAGTATATTTTCACAATATATATCAATATGTTATATACTTATGTATTGTATATATATATATATATATATATATATATATATACACACAATGTTTATATAAATGTAGATTATCTCTAGAAGGAGAGGAAAAGAGCTCCTAATTGTTAAGGACAGGAGGACTGAAGTTCAGGGGTGAGAGGAAGACTTAATTTTGGACTGATTAAAATAGTTTTATTCATGTGCATATTTTAACTGTTCAGCTCTATGAAAATCAAAATCACAGCATAAGCAGAAATGAGAGCTGTGTGAAGGCAGAAGAGACGCTCCATCTTGGTGGAAAGGGCCTCTGAGCTGACCTTGATCCTGGTCATATTTGGGAAAAGAACTGAGAAGGGCAGTACAGGCAGAGAGTGCCCAGGCAGGAGCAGTTGTGGATGACAGACTCCTTTGGGCCAGGCCAGGATGAACTGTGTCGGCCCCTGAGAGCCCAGGGGGGTGGGYAGGAGCTGCTCCTGGGCACTCACCTGGTATTCATTGTTCAGCACCAAGARGCGCAGTTTGAATGGTTGGTTTTCCTGAAAGGGCATCTTGTGGGATGTCACCTCGGTTCTCCAGCCCCCGTCCTGCAGACTGTTCAACACCACATAGTGGCCAAAGTACACKCGGAAGTGGAAGGCGATGTCAGATGTGGGGTCCCGGTCAGTGTGGAAATCCACCTGCAGCTGAGGGTCCTTTCTGAAAGGCAGAGCACAGAGGAGGCTGGGCAGGGTCCTTCTTTGTAGTGACACACACGCTACTCTGTCCTTTAGCTCAAGAACCAAGAGCAGCAGCMATCACTGACCAGGGCCTACTGGTGTTCATACCCTGAGAAGTCTATGTCCCTTGACAAAGCGCCACAGCTCAAACTCTCTGAATGTCCCCCAGGCCCCTGGCCCTGCCTGTAGCCCAATCACTAAAGGTTTAATGCCTGCTGCTGTAGGAGCTCCAGGACCAGCACCTGCCAAGTGCCAGCATCGTGCTAAGTAAACATTTTAATAGATGCATTGGGCCCCAAAGCACTAATATTCTCACTTCTCCTCCACCCGCCACACGTGCATTACAGAGCACTCACCTGAACGTGTTGCTMGCCATCCCCCTGATGGTTACCGAAGAACCAACAGACAAATTCACATTCTGTGAGTATGGGACCTGCCATGGGAATTGAGAGTGGATGAGAGGGACCAGGCCAGGGGTGGGCTCCCAGTGGGGCAGCAGATTAGAGGTCAAATGACAAATTCCGAGGACCCTTCTACCCCCTTCACCACCATGGTCAGGTACCTGGATCCTTGTCAAGATGGAAGGTAGTAGAAGACTCAGGCTATCTGAATTTGAACCCAGGTCATGCCTCTCACTAGCAGTGAGATTGTTACATCCATTACTTGAACACTTCGTGCCTCTGTTTCCCCAGTACAAGGAGGATTATCAGAAATTCCTATGTCCTAAGTTGTTTTCAGGAACACAGGAATAGATACATGTAAAACCTTAATTGGAATCACTGACACAGGGAGGGTCTGTAGAGGGTTTACCCATCAGAAGGGGAGGGTGCTTTCTGGAATCTCATTCTCAGATCATTTTCTATTATCTAAAATTGTGGAAATGAGACATGGATGTAAAAATATAAAAATTGATTCAAGAGAAAAACAACACTGGTACGGGTGAGGGTCAGTGGTAGAGCAAATGATTAGCATATACAAGGCCCCAGGTTCCATCCCCAGCATGTCTCCCTCCCTCCCTCTCTCTCTCTCTCTCTCTCACACACACACACACACACACACACACACACACACGACCAACAATGCTCCTTTATTTTTATTTATTTATTTTAAAGTAGGTGAACATAATGCCTTTATTGTTATTTATTTATTTTTATGTGATGCTGAGGATTGAACCCAGTGCCTCACCGTGCTAGGTGAGCACTCTACCACTGAGCCACAACCCCAGCCCCAATTCTGCTCCTTTAAATAGAGGGAAAGAGCTGTGTGCATTGGCAAATGCCTGTAATACGGGTGACTTGGGAGGCTGAGACAGGAGGATTGCAAGTTCAAAGCCAGAGTCAGCAATTTAGCCAGGCCCTAGGCAACTCAKCGAGACCCTGTCTCAAAATTAAAAAAAAAAAAAAAAAAAAAGTAGGGGACAGGGGATGTGACTCAGTGGCTAAGCGCTCCTGGGCTCCCTGGTACCAAAAAATAAAAATAAAGAAGGGTACAGGGTTGTGGCTCAGTGGTAGAGCACTTGGCTCACACGTGTGAGGCCCTGGGTTCAATCCTCGGCACCACATAAAAAGTAAAATAGAGGTATTGTGTCCATCTACAACTAAAAAAAATATTAAAAATAAAGAAATACATAAAAATAAAGAAATAAAAAATTCTACGCAGGGTTTCACTAAGTTGCCCAGACTGGCTTCCAACTGGCAATCCTCCTGTCCCAGCCTTCTGGGTCCCTAGGATCACAGACATGTGCCACAGTGCCCCTGCAAGGATCTCTTACGTCCCCAGGGTCTGGCTCTTGCCCACACCCACAAATATCAGTCAAACATTCACAGTGGAAATGCTCATTCTTTAATCCCACGAAAGCTCCACTTTTTCCTTCTCTCTTGTGACCTGGGACCACCGAGCCCAGCACCCTGTCGACTCACCCGTTTCGTMATTGTTCCCTTCTTCTGCACTGCTCCAACCTTCAGCGAAGAGTGGCCGGTTCATCAACCCCCTGTGGCAGGCCCCGCCCCCGGTTTCTCTCCTGTTTCCACGCTCCTCCCAGCAAGGGTTCCCCGCGGGCGAGATGGGGTGGGCGGTTCGGAAACAGATGGTCAGCTGAGCCTGCCTTKCTGGCTTGTGTCTGTGCGGTCAGAAGCCCCGGCGGGGGTAGAGTTTCCTGATTTTTAGTCAGTGGCAAAGACGAGGTGGACCAAGGGGTCAAGTCCTTGACCCTGATGGAAATTAYCCGAGCGAGCATAGAAATTGATCCTCTGCACATTTTGAACCTATGCGAAGTCCCGGTGGCRGCGTCAGTGTCGCCCAGCGAGGGCTGCACGAAACCTTCTCACACCTGTTCCAGCCACATCTTCTGGGGGGCAGTCAATGTACTGTTGGGCCGGGAGCTGGAAAGCTGCCTATGCTACCTTTGGGAGGGGCTCTTAGGGCTCAGCACAACCATCCGGGTATTTGTGGTTTGGGACACTGACCACGACCAAGCCCTTAGTAACCTGGCCACCCCCAGGTGCATAGCATGTACCTTTTCCTTAAGCCTTTGCCACTGACCTTTTTAGCATGATCATCCTTGAGTCCTTTTTAAGTGAATAATTTAGTTCAWTTAAGTGGAGTTTCAATTAATTCAGTTGAGTGGAGGGAAGTGGGAGGTGTGGGGTCCAGATAGATGGAAAGGCAGCCCCCAGCTTGTGCCCACTCCTCTGTGTTACATGGAGAGCGCCCAGGCTTAAGCCCAGCCTCCCTCAGCCCCCACCCAGCCCCTCTGCACACAGCTGCTCTCCCCATTGTTCAGGTTCCAAACTCCATCCTCAGCCCAGAATCCTCAGTGCCATTCTGCACTSTCCTCTTTCTGTCACAAATCTTATGGTTCCACTTTCATGAAACACTATGAATTGGCCCCCATTGACCCCTCGGACCCCATCAGGTAATTGGGGACAGGTAATTGCCCAGGACATCACTCTGATTGCTTGGAGAACTGTTTCTTTCATAAACAAATGTCTTTTCCTAGAACTCCTTTCGGAATTCCTATCCAGGCAGCATTTCTCAGAAACCACCCTGAATTAGGAAATCCAAACTGTTTGAACTGTGTGTCTCTCAGGATCTATTCCTGGCTTTACAACCAGAAGTGAAAGTAAAACAGAAACAGATTTCAACTGGGTTTAGAAATCAGCCAGTGTAACAGAGAACTGGAAGTGCTGAGTTGGCAGTGGGTCCCCAGTCCACCTGTGCTCATTTTCCCTTTGTTTTTTTTTTTTTTTTTCTCTTTGGTCCTGGGGATTGAACTCAGGGGCACCCGACCACTGAGCCACATCCCCAGCCCTATTTTGTATTTTATTTAGAGACAGGGCCTCACTGAGTTGCTTAGTGCCTTGCTTTTACTGAGGCTGGATTTGAACCCACAATTCTTCTGCCTCAGCCTCCCAAGCTGCTGGGATTACAGCACTTTTCCATTTTCTGAGGGCATCATTGGAATGGACATGTTCAGCAATTGGTAGAATCCCATGTCTGATCTCTGACCTGTGCAATGAAGGCTATGATGGTAGGAAAGGCCAAATGAAGGCCATCTGAGCYGCTTCCAGCTATAAATATGGTAACCCAAAAGCCATAGTGCCTTCCTGGAGGGTTTGCGGAGATCAGTGCAAACATGGAGGACTTAATGATGCAGAGGTGGCCATTAGCACCACATTCCCATTCACTCATCTATTTGGCCTGTGTAGGAGACAATTACATCCCCGACAGTGGCAGCAGACTGTCATAAACTATAAACTTCACCAGACAGTGATTCCTATTGTAGCAACTGAGTCAAATGTGGTTTCACTGCTTGAGCAAATCCACACATCCCCTGGTAAGTGGTATGCAGCTATTGATCTGGCAAATACCTGTGGGCACATTGCTGGGCTTCCTAACTTGGCAAAACTTCTAGACATCAGTGGCTGGGCATGTTAAGAGATCCATCCCTTCTAGTAGATATGATGGGATACGCCAGTCATCCCAGCAACTCAGGAGGCCCAGGCAGGAGGATCCCAAGTTCCAGGCCAGCCTCAGCCACATAGTGAGAGCATCTTTAAACAAAAAATAAACAAGGAACATCATCAGTGTGATGCTTGACCTTTGATTTCCATCACATCCTTCATACGACGAATCAGAAAGCCCCAAGGCTCCTCCTTCATAAAAAAACCACAAATCAACCACTTCTCATCACCTGTGGCCGGATTTTATTTTCTTTGGAGCATTGGGGATTGAACCTAGGAGCACCTCACCACAGAACCACTTCCCCAGACCTTTTTATTTTTCATTTTGAAACAGGGTCTCACTAAGTGGCTTAGGGCCTCACTAAGTTGCTGAGGCTGGTTTTGAACTTGTGATTCTCCTGCCTCAGCCTCCAGAATGGTCTGTTATTTACACTGCTGTATTGTTCTACTGAGCGTCTTACTTACAGTAGAAGCTCAAAAACTTATATAATAAATAAATGTCTTTCCTATTAAAACAGAAAAGAACCAAAGTAATGCCATTTTGTTCTGACCTGACTCCATTGTAAAATGTCTTCTTTTCAGCCTCCTGATGGTTATATCTATGTTGACAGTACGGTGGGACCTTCCAGCGTCCCTGATGTATGACAAAAATGACTCTGAAATGGGTAATCAAAACAATTCTCTCGTGTAATCAAAATATCTGTCTAAAACAGGATTTTTCTGACCTACATGGSCCTCAGTTATTCTTGTGGTTTTTGTGGGTTTTGCCTTTATAGATTCTGTGCTTCCAAAGTTCACGTGCTGGGGAGTTCTTTGAGGCGTTARCCTACTCCCCGCTGCTTGCCTGGCTTGCTCATTCATTAAAAGACCTTTTGCCCTTTGACTTTGGCTCAGCACGAGGGGTGGTTTGTGATTCTCACTCCATAACACTGCAGCTTCTTTCTGGAGTACAAACCAGGGAGCATTTTCTCAGAAATCAGCAGTTAGTTGAGCAATGAGCTGGGTTTGGAAACCGTTKCTTCTGAATCTAMGGATGGTTCTGTGATTAGAAGTGAAAATGGAACCAAAAGAGATTTTCAGCTGAGTTGAAAAGTTCAGTCAGTATAACAAATAAGGAAAGTTCTGGAAGGCAAAGGGGAAGGGTAGGCAGTTTTGTTCCTAGGAGTGCMATGGTGTCTCTTGGTGAGCTGGCTTTTGTTCCCATGACAAACTGGGACAGATTTTGCAGCCTGTAAGTGAAACATTAATTATAATATCTGACAGAGAAGAAAGCACACCCAAATAATGAAAGGTCTATGCAGGAGAAGATTAGAAAACTATCYGACTGGGCCAAATCACAGAAGCAATAAACATGCCGGTGACCAAAACGAATGCCCTGGGAATAAGGAAAGTTCAGACACACAGTCTGATGAGACTGCTCCATGATAAGCATGTAGGCAAAAGATTAAAATGTGAATCACTGACGGGCAGGTGGCACACACCTGTAATCCCAGCCGCTCGGGAAGCTCAAGCAGGAGGATTGCAATTTCAAAGCTAGCCTCATCAAYTTAGCAAGGTCCTGAGCAACTCAGTGAGACCCTGTCTTAAAATTAAAAAAATAAAAAAGGGCTGGGGTAGGGGGGCTGCAGTTTGTGGTGAAGTGTCACCCCCTTTCTCTACAGAAAAGTCCTAACTGGGCTTCTCCAGAATCTYCACCATGGCTGATTTTAGGACTGTCAGCAAAAAGAGTCTCTGCAAAAGAGTCCATTGTAGATAAACTTCCTATTTTCCTGTCGCCCTGTTTTACTTGGTCACTGGCCGAGAAGATACCAGTGCTCCAGGTGCTGGACACCCTGTTACTAGTTTTTCACAAACATGTATCCAGTAGAGTACTTTGAAGAAATGTGCAGACAAGGCCTCTGGCCTAGGGCTGGGCTTCACAGAGATGTCTACATTCCTAAGAGGAGAGAAGTTACCACCTGGACTCGGTGGTAACAGCTGGCAGGGGGAAGATAGAGAGGGGAGAAGCAGCTCTCCCCTTCTCAGGTGTTGTCCTTCAAGGGTTAACTTGCCCAGAACAGTGAGAGAAAAAGCTGCTTTTATGTGAACTTCTGCAGACTGGGAACTTCTGAGCCCCTCCCCTTACATGCTGGGTATAAAAATTCCGAAACTTCCAGTACTTGGAGTTCAGGGGGTTGATGGATTACAGCAACAGCTGTGCCCTCTGAACCTGGCTGCAGCCAAATAAAACTGTGTCCTGCTGTCTTCGGTACTCTGCCTCGTCTGTCCCTACAACAGTGGCTCAGTGGCAGAGCGCTTGCCTGGCATGTGTGAGGCCCTGGGTTCGATCCTTAGCACCACATAAAAWTAAATAAATAAAATAAAGGTATTGTGTCCATCTACAACAACAACAACTGAGAAACTAATGTGACTCCATTTTTGAGAAACCAGCCTCTACCTCAGAGCAAAGCCTGTCCAAGGAAGGGGGCGTGACCCTTGTTCTTGGAAAAACCCACAGAGCACTCCTAGGCACAGACCCACCCTGCTGAGTTATTTGTCTGCAAATAACAGGAGAGCTCTGTGGAGCCAGGCACCCCTGACTCAGTTAGGCTAGGTGAGGACCCATAGCAACCCCCTAGCAACCTCCAATCAGCATGAGGCAGGGAAAATACCTGGGATGCCAGATGACCCCCAGTAGTTAATGGTGTTGATAACATGTTGGGAAACCATGTAGCTTAGCACGTACACCCCTCGTGGCCTAAACCAATCAGTTCAAAGGAATCCCCCTCTTGTACTAACCAATCACCCCTACCCAACTTGTTCCCGCCATTGAATGTGCTAATCAATGTTAAGAGTTGTTGTTTGACTTTCCCGCGGTRTGGAATGATTTGCTGGGTGATGTTGTGACGCATAGAGTATCCCCCCAAAACCAATAAAATCTCACTGAACAAAGGACCAGGACTCACTCCCTGGGACCGCTGCGTCGGGAACGGCTGTGAGTCCAGGCTGGAGCTTGCAATAAAGACTCT